TAATAATATTACTTAACATTAGTGTAGTAAAAAAAATTCATTAGCATAAGGTCCAAATAAAAACTCCTTAGATGATATTAGGTAAATTTTTGGAGTTCTTTATTTAGACCTTATAATAATAATATTATTGTTCTAAGGCCCGACTAAGGTACCTACTGCAATAACTAAACTCAACTAGGGATAGCCTCTAATTTTTCAAATGATAATCTAAATCAAAATTGTTCAAGCTGAGCTCACTTTTGAGTATCCTTATGAGGAACTCAATAGATAACCGTTTGTTTGTCGTAAATTTTAGAGTATGCCTGTCTATAAATTAAGAAAATTTCTAGTCCGGATTAAGTTTTTAATGGACCAAAACACCGTCACCAAACCAAAATTACTTTAAACTCCTAGGTTTTTCACTGAAAGTTCTGCATGGTACTGCCTATTACTCGATCCAACCACTCACTCAATCCCGACTAAAAATCTTCTTGGTTTAGTCAGGCATACCCTAAAGCGAATTAGATCCTAATATGGACAAGCAAACAGTTATCTATTGAGTTCCTTATAAGAATAGTCTAAATAAGACCAGCCAGAACTATTCTGAATTAGTTTATCATTTGAAAAATTAGGGGCTATCCCTAGTTGAGGTAAGTTGTTGGAATGCCTCAAGCCGGCCTCAGACCAATAATACTATTATTATAGGGCCTAAATAGAGAACTCCAAAAATTTATTTCATATCATCTAAGGGGTTCTTATTTGGACCTTATGCTAATGAAATTTTATTACTACACCAACATTAAGTAATATTATTACTATAAGGCCCAAAAATTGACCTTATCTATTGAGCAGTTTCTTATTTGAACTTTATACAGTGAAGTGATTTACTGTAAGAAAGAGCTAGTAAGAAAAAAATACAACGTGTAATTATACAACACACTACTGAAGTGAAACTTCTTCAAACACACAAACATACCGGGATAGGGGTTAAGGAATTGGTTTAATGGTATTATTTTTACACTATGAATGCCGGAGTTGCCTGTAACGAACTTTGCACTGAAGCGCGCTCACGGCTCAAGCGATCCCCACTACGAACTGGACTACGTGGCCGAGTAGAGGGAGGGGACATCCGTTGCACGATTTCGTTACATAGCAACTCGCATGAAACGAACTTACCCTGCCGTGCGTAAAGAAATTTGACTTCAAAAAGCAATCTAGCAATGTTACCGAAATTATTAATTGTAACAAGGAATCTATGTTTAGTGATTATCCTTGCATTTCTTCTAAGCAGAATCTAATAAGACAAACGCGAACTCATCTTTATTCGCTTTGTTTACGATTAATTTTTTTAGTAGAGTCAATAATAAAACAAACTGACCAAAACAATCAGTTGATCTGAAAAGAAATATTCTTTCAGTTTTCCTTCTTTTCGGATAATGCGTTGTGGGATGTGTAAGGATTTGTTTTGTTTTTTTTTTAATTTGTTGTTTTGTTGATAGACTAGTACCTAACATATTCTGATAACTTTTTTCAAAATAATCCAGCTAATCCCAGACTTAAACCCAACAAAGACAGATAACATAAGTAAAAATGGCTGACCATTTATTATCAGAAAATATAATTATCTGGTTGTTAAAACGATTTTGCTAAATAAATTACAAAAATAATAATAATAAATAAGTTGCATATTCTGGTTAAAAAATCATGAACAATTAAATTCATTTAAGAATCATGGTTAGGTATGCTTACCAATTCAAAACAATTCGATATTCATTAGAAAATAGAAAATAAGTTGTAACATCAACAATAATGAATTTCATAACCCTCATTAAAGTAACTGACAATTTGTCGTAAAAGTTTTCGATGCCTATCGTACGATGCCTAAAGTACATCTAATTCAAATAGTTTTGCTGTAAATAATTTAAAAATACCGTTTCTGTGCGTCAGCTACCTACTTTATTGAAAAAAATTCCACCCATTATGGAACTAAATATATCTAAATTATAATAAAGGAGACATAGATAATCCACAATGGATTATAGAATTTATTATCAGGTATTTTTTATCAAAAATGACTAACCAATGTCCCAATTCCATTGTCGCACATGTCAGACATAAATTGGTCCCCATTCGTAAAATAATGTGTGCAATTAACGTTGTATAGAATTAATTGCCACAAATCAGACCAAACCAACTGTTTAAACAGGTATTAGCACAACAAATACATCCCCATAATTCGGTACTGGCACGTGTTTACTGTAGATTGTTCAAACGCTATTTGTCAATGTGTTAAATTCACGCACACAAATACACACGGACGTAACTATTCACAGCCTGTTTGATCGCTCTGCATTGTTTACAGTTTAACGTACAAATGGCTCTCTATTTTGAAAAAAAAAACACCTTTAACAAGTGCAATAAAATCATCACACGTAAAAGGTGTTGGTTAGCAGAATGCAGTTAGCATTTTACTAACTACAAAGGACAGGTTCAATTACCCTGCGGAAGCAAGACTTTAGTGATATCCCTATCAAATTCAAACATACATACAATTTTAGACAACTTTTTAGAAGTGAGTTAGTTTAATATGAAATATTAATCTGGAAATACATTACCCACTACACGCTACCTCAAATTAATGAGGGAAAAATTGTTGCTGTTGTCACACCCCCGCCGGGAATCGAACCCGGGACCTTTGGCTTCACGCACCAATGTTCTGACCACTAAACTACGAGAGGTAGTACTACAGCAACAACGACCAACCGACCTACAAGGTTAACGATCCGTCGGATTAATGTGACTATATATACTGAATACAGTATGATTGAACATACATACAATTTTAGACAACTTTTTAGAAGTGAGTTAGTTTAATTTGAAATATTAATCTGGAAATTCATTACCCACTACACGCTACCTCAAATTAATGAGCGAAAAATTGTTGCTGTTGTCACACCCCCGCCGGGAATCGAACTCATTAATTTGAGGTAGCGTGTAGTAGGTCAAAAATTCAAAAATGAATTTTCAGATTAATATTTCATACAAATTTCAAAATTATAGAAAATATGAAACACATATATTGATTGAGTGATATAAAGAGCAAAAGGCTGTTATAGATATTGAGCAGCAACGTAGAGAAGTAAATACTAGGAAGAGTGTCAAACAAGGATTCACACTGTCACCGCTACTTTTTAATCTATACATCGCAGACGCGATAAACATCACTAAACACAAGATAACTTTAGGATAGACATACAGGGAGAAAAGATTAATATGCCTAGATTTGTAGATGATACAGCAGTAGCAAGAAGAAATTAGAGACAGGATTAAATAAAAAGGATGCGGTATTGACAAAACAGTATTGTATGAATGTAAATGCAAGGGAAGAAAGAGTAGGGAGAGAGCGAATATAAAGATAGGAGACTAAAAATTGGAAGAAATGGCTGATTTTCAGTAGGTATCTAGAAAGTCAGATAACTCAGGATGAAACGAGTAGTAGAGATATAAAACAGAATAGCACAGGGTCGAGTCAGCTTCAACACAAAGAAGTCACTTCTATGCTCGCGAACGGTTAATTTAGAAATTCGAATAGTGGTAGACCTAGATTAGATTACTGTTCACTAGCAGTTAAGAATGTGGGATGTTCAAGTTCTAGAAAAATTAAAGTGAAGATTATTTCAGGATAAGGAAGAGGTACGTGCAGAGGCAGATTAAGTGAGCACTCTAGGCTAGCACGTCATAGGCGCCCCTCTGGCGGTCATATATTTTGCAAATTTTTTTTAGGTACTTCTTTTTTTTAAGGTTTAAAAATTTCCGCGCGCGCCCCTTTTTAAGCTTGCGCACATAGGCATATGCCTACTTTGCTTTATGGATAATCCGCCAATGGGTACGTGTCCAACCAGTCTTAGGACTGACGCCCCTATAATGATGACAATGATGATGTTAGTTGATAGAGTGTACGTGTAATGAATGAGGTAGTAGTTCGATGATTATTTAGAGATGCTTTTGTTGAATCAATAAATCAGTATTTTTTATCCAAAAAGTTTGGACATAAATTCTTTTTAAATCAGGCTTCTGAAGGTTAAAAGACAGTTGCAAACTTTTTATAAGTACCTGCGAGAGGGAAATTTTTAAAATCCTGCTTACTTAAATGAGGAATCGAAGAATAAAAACACGTAACTACTATTTAGTCAATATCCAATAACGGCAAGTAAGTTATAAAACACAAACTCCTAGAAATTGTACAATCAATGTGCACCAAAGTGAATCCTTTGACTCCACGACATACGTCTTTGTAAACTAATGGGTGTCATGAAATAAAAGGTAATTTTTTAATAAAGGACCTTGATATTTCATTAATCGAAAACATGCGATAAGGGGACTTATAAGTCGAAAGAAGAAATTTTCTTTAATCCTAATTGATTGTAAGATAAAATCATAAAGTAAACACAAACAAGTGCTTTTTCGGTAGCGAATTTTCTTAGTAAGAAAGGCGAAACATGAAGAGACTGAGATAATTATGAAAAATATCCTAAACTAAACGAACTCTCAAAATGTTTTGAACAAAGCGTAGCTTTAAATTGCATGTACTGAATTTACATTACTTTATTATTTGTACTATAAGGTGGTCAGTTTGGTCAGTAATTTATCGGAAGTTACCATTACGTGCTGATGAGATACAATTAAATAAAAATTACGACCCAGATCCATGATAAATTACTAACCAAAAGCCTAATCCGATTAATAAGCTGCGTCATCAATATAGTTGAACAAGTGGATACCTTGGTAAGGCCCTTCTCTAACATTTTAATTGCCAAATAAACATTTCACCCTGTTGGAGCATCATCAGGAGTAAAACTACATCAAGTACTGTATGTACAGTAACGGTTTGTTTCAATAAATTGACAACAGTGTTTGTTTATGTCACTGAACTGTAATGAAACAGCAGTTAAGAGCTGAGTTATTTTTTAATTATCTCAATTTGTTCCAGAATGGGAAACAGTGCCCTAGCATGTACAAAGATGTTCACTACAAAGCCAACAGTTGGAGGCAGCACTGAGGAAGACGATATAAAGTCAGAGACTTTATGTAAAGTAAAATCGGTTAATTGGTTGATCAGAAAGACCTCAGCGTCGGACACCAGTGAGTGTTTCTAATAAGTTCGAACTGTGGAGAAATCAAACATATCACTTTGTAAATGACTACATACAAGAATAAATGAAAGTAATAAATTTAACGGTTAAAAATAATAATAAAAAAAAGAAATGAACCAGAAAATGCATCGGTCACGTGAAAAAGACTATTAGGCAATGATTAATTAAATACGTACAAAGTAGAATCAGTGAATTATTTTACGTACCCACCTTTTTTATGGCCTGGTCGTTCTCTGAATTGAAACATATCCTGAAAGTATTTGTCGTTGCAGAAATTTGTCGGAAAGTTCAATTAAGGATGAATCAAAATTGGAGGAAGTACCTACATGCCCGAAATAAAAATGTTCAGTCTCTCATAGTCTCTGAAAGCGAGACTCGAGTCTCCGTCTCTCATCGAGTCTCTCTGGTGTCGCTGAGAGAAACTGTCGAGAGACTGTCTAAAAAACTGTCTCGAGTCTCTGAGCGAGAGACTCGAGTCGCTTATACAAAAATCCTCATTTCGTATACAGTCTCTGAACGAGAGACTCGAATCTCTGAACGAGAGACTCGAATCTCTCAATAAGTGGTGTCTCGATAGACATGGTTAAAATTTTCTAAGATCAACTTATTTCATAGATCCCAGTCTTTCTACGAGAGACTCGAGTCTCTCAATTTTTCAGTTTTATTCATTCAGTCTCTCTCTGACAGACTCGAATCTCTGAATTAACAATTTTATCGTTCGAGTCTCTCTTATAGAGACTGTGAGGGATCCATATAAACACCTAGGCAATAACTGAGAGACTGTAAAAGACTATGGGAGACGCTGAAAGACTCCGAAGGACTCTGAGAGACTGGAGAGAGACTGAAAATTTTTGTCTAGGTTCTAGGGTGATTATACTTCAGTGCCAAGAAATGCGTAGCCACACTTATTGCCTTTTATTGCTTTATTTATCAGTGTCCTCTATATAATAATATGTTTCAACGTCTTCCATGGCTTAAATAAACAATCCATTGTTTCGCAAAGTTTCTCTATAAATATATTGATATTTATCATTTGTATGCAACCACTGAAGTATATCATTGTAATATAATATGTGATATGATACGAGGGATTTTTTTAGTGATATTAATCTAATATCAGATTTTTTCATGTTTACATATTGATTTCCATTAAAAAACAAACAAAAATTATAATTAATAACAAATGTCTGCAACGAAAATATAAATTTACTATTTACCATATCCTTCTGGCAGAATTTAGCCATATTCTTTTGTGCTCTTTTGTAAAACCATAAAAAGGAAAACGCTTGACCTTAAGCGCAGCTTGCAATTATTGTAGGATGTTGATAAATGCTTCAAGTGGAAGTATTGCCACAAAAATTGTTTATTAATTAATAAATGATTACTTTTATTTTGGCTATTTTTTAACCTTCTCTTCATCCCTTCCTTTTCCATGGAATATGATAAGATTTAAAAATAGAAGAGCAAAAAGAGGTAAGTGATACTTTTATAAGTAGGTATAGTACATAGTACACATAAAATAAAATGTACATTACAGGTAGAGAAATACGCTAGGAATATGTGTTATGTTTAAAAAGTTTAATCCAATTTAGGTCAATATCCTTAAATAACACTAACTAAACATTGACTTTATCAAGACTTAGTTCGAAAATTGTCGAAATTCAGAGATCTACAATAATAATGTTTACGATATAATGTAGTTTTTATCATACTGGCACCTATATAAACATTGTCACGTTTTAATGTGCTATATATTTCCAGTATATAAAGTTGTTTTTAATGATATAATTTATCTTTTACACTAAGTCTGAGCTAATAATGAAGAGATGAAGATGATTTTTAAAACAAAAGAACAAAGATATTCTGAAATTCCGTCGGTCGTCGGTTTGCCTATTTGTTTGTTTAAGAGAAGAGAGCAGAGAGAGATAGCGCAGGGTAGAGTCGCCTTCAATAAAAAAGTCACTTCTATGCTTGCGAACGATTAATTTAGAAATTCGAAAAAGATTGTTGAAGGTATGTGTCTGGAACGCGGCGCTGTAAGTGTGTGAAACATGGACAGTGAGTGCGGCGGAAAAGAAAAGGTTAGAAGCGTTCGAAAGATGGTGTTATAGGCGAATGATGGAGGTTAAAAATGAAGAGGTATTAGAAATAATAGGAGAACAGAAGGCTCTATGGAAGTCAATAAAAAATAGGCGAGATAGGTTGGTAGGAAACTGTCTCAGGCATGAAGGTCTAGTCATAGACATATTAGAGGCAGAAACAGGAGTTAAGAGGAGTAGAGGTAGACCTATATTAGATTACTGTTCGCAAATAGTTAAGGATGTGGGATGTCTAGTTTTAGGGAAATGCGAAGATTAGCTCAGGATAGAAAAGAGTGGAGGTGCGTGTCCACCCAGTCTTAAGACTGACGACCTTATGATGATGATTGTTTAAGACGGTCACTTGGTACAAAAACCAGATGCTTTATTTCTTAATTCGAAAAGTCTTGTGTTGGTGATATTTAAAATCGAGAATACTAGAAGCTGAATAGTAACAACTATAAAAAATCTGATTCCGATTATAAAAGTAATGATATATTTGCCACGTAAATTTTAGACGAAACACGAAGGAACCAGGAAATAAACTACTACAAAATCTATTTGCATTATTATAAAAAGACAATAAATATAGAAATTGAAAAGTAAATTATAGTTATTAGGATCATTAGCAATTAAAATTTAAATCTGAACTTCTAGGAAATAGCATTTCCTTAATAAGAGCAACATAATAAAATTTTTATTGGATCGTAGCCCAAGAAACTTTCGTTATTGTTCATTAGCTGCTAAGAATAAAAGGTTGCCTTTTCAATATACAATGACGGAAGGCTTTATAAGTCGGTTTTCATACAATAACGGCGCTCAATTAGACAAAAGAAGGCATTAGAGGAAGTCTAAAAAGAGCCAGCCCTTTCAATATTCCAAGCCATTAAACATCGACAGGAGTCTGAAATAAAACTTAACGCTTTCGACCCGAATCGCGGACAATGGTTTTGAAGGAAAGCCGACTGTAAATGATTTAGATGGAAAATCCGGTTTTGCACCGCCAAACGTCCCACGCCTCTGAGTTATGCCGCCCTCCGCGTCACCGCTTGTTTCACTTACTCTGTATTGAATTTAGCATTTATAGCTCGTGCGTGTGAGTCTTGAATTTATGTCCCATTCCGAATTACCTTAGATCTTCCTGATACAATTTGTACGAACATAAATCTCAAAGAAAGAAAAACAGTTAATCCACAGAGCTTCGTTCGCTTCTGCAAATTTTATTGCTTACTTTACGCTCGTCGACCACCGCTAGCGCGAAGGCGACGACCGCCCTCTTTCATCCAAGTAAAAGTAAAGACACGGTGCCTTAAAGTTTCTCGTGCACCCACCGCAGAAAGACTTCGCGAAGGCGTAAAAATACTATCGGCAAAACTGTCTCTATAAATTTTACACTCTTCCGAAGAATAAGTAATGCGAATTTAGCCTCAATGTAAGGATCGAGGCCAAAACAACGTCTCTTGTCTTCAATCATCGATTTTACAACACAGTCTCCTTTTTACGTATTCTAACTTACATATAACATATTAAACCAACAGAATAGAATCCATGGGGTGGTAATTTCCGATGTGTTTTCTTATTTCCGAATGAAGATTCAAAGGTACTTCAATGTGTGTTTTACAATTCAAAACCAAAAGATACAATTTATGATCATTTTGGGAAAATTATTAATATACAGGAAACTCAGAGAGCGGTTATCTCTGGCGTTGCTTTGTGACCAAATTCTAATTTGGGCTTAGAGTTGCATCAGAACGTCAATGGGTTTTAAAATATCAATATTACAATTAGCTATGTTGCTGACGTAGCTTCTTTAGTTTTGGGAAAAGAATAAATCAAAACTTTCTTTGTGCTGTAGGTCTATTCTTGTTGAATCTTGTTCCTGTTTCTCACTCTTCGTACACAAACTCAAATTTGGACTTTTGATCCAAATTAACATCATTTGGCATGTAAGATGGGGACACTATGAGGTCAAACTGAAAGTCTGTCTGATGTAACTACTTTCTTGTTTGTACTATTCTACATTACCTACTATACTAGGGGAAAGAAGAAAAGCTTGTTTTATTTCCATCAGCTACTGATGTTAGTGTGCGGGCAATCCCCCCGACGTACACCTTTTACTGTAACGCCAGAGGGTAAGGCGGAAGACCCTCGAAACACTTCTTTTAGGAATCGTGGAAATTGGGGTTGGTGTTTAGGGAGAGAAATATAAGACATACGAAGGAAAAACAGAAGATCAATTAAAATTTATCTATCCTCAAAATATTACCTGTCTAAAGGATTCATGAAAACTGCAGAAATGCATGAATCCAAAACCGAACTGAGGGTCTGGTTCCGAGAGCTAAACTGTGATCCTCTTCTGGATCACGCCGGGCAGCTCAGTGCATCGTAGTAGTATCATAAGGTTAAAAAAGGAATTTTTTAGGTTCTGAAGATATATTCCAGGCAATTTTGATTACCGATTCGAGCTCAGCATCACAAAAGAGTCGTAAAAACTAATGGCAATCTAAAGTAAATAAATAACGACTGGATATTTTTTAATAACAATAAACGTAAAACATGTCTTGTTTACATGTGGTTTAAGGGTGTAGCGGTAATTGCATTCAACAAGAATAGAAACAACATTTTTTCAAACTGTGAAACTCATCGAAACTTGTTCACTCAAGTTAATGAATCTGAAACACAAAAACTTATTACGTTGATTTAATTTATTACCGCATTCTCGTTAATTACTGGCAAGATACGTCTTCAGAGCAATTTTCCAAGCCTACCCTTTTCCTATTATTCCACGGAAATGTCACGTGACGGTTTCCCTAATGTACTACATTTTGCTCAATAAGTTTTTTTCTATGATATACAATAAGTAACAGTACTCCTGGAGTTACAAGACGTGGCCAACACGGTTAAATTAATGCTAACCCGGCACCTGCGCCAAAATTTACAGATGTAAGTTTATAGCATTCTTTAATCTATTTGTATTTATCATTAGAGACGGACATATTGTTTTTAACACGTACTAAGCCCTTTCCTTAAGAAAATTTAACCGGTGTAGGGGAGAGCGGGGCTAAAAGTTACCGGGGTAAGTTGTTCCGTATCAAATAGTTCTTAGAAAACAAGAGATAACTATACTGTAAGACACCCTATATACATATATCTCAACAGTTGTTGCGGAAATAGTCTTAAATAAAATTATTCTGCAGTATATATACATATACATAAATGCTTCAACCATCTTAAGCTCAGCCAAAGGAAATACGTTCCATTATGGAGAAGGAAATCTCTATTAAGGCCAGGAACTGTAATACCAGGAAATAGCTCTAGATAAGCCGTTTCTAGAATTAATCCGTTATTACTTCCATACAATTTTTATTAGTTGATATTCAGGCTAAGTGCAATATTACACGTCATATTCTTTCACTCGAATCTAACTTCTGCGGAATTTGAGTCATCAAAGTTTAAC